AGAGAGAGAGAGAGAGAGAGAGAGAGAGAGAGAGAGAGAGAGAGAGAGAGAGAGAGCCAACACCTTCCCCCCCAGCCCCCCCCCCCAAAAAAAAAATCACCCCCAACCACCCAACTCTTTTTTTATACGCAACTTGCCCCATGACATCCCCTGCCCTCGCGTAACCACATGGCGCACACGCGCTCTTTTTTCGACGAGCGTGCGCGCCTTAAAGCGCTTTGAGCGCGTTTGAGCGTTGGGGGGGGGGGTCTTAGTCTCAAACGGTTTCATAGTTCTGCCTTGCAATACCTATGATCATATGTTATACGAATAACCAGTCTCAGACGGATATACACATGAAATCTTGATACCACCACTTTTGACAAAATAACCCTCAACCAACTCCGAGTTTTTTTGTCTTCAAAGCATCTGATGGCCGAAAAGGCATTTACTAATTTTCCCATCTCCCAGGACTGCAAAATGTGTTGGCTTGAGGGTTCACTCAAGGAACTGGCCAGATAAGGTTTGAGTGCAAGCGCACGTCGACAGAAAGGAACAATGATTGAATCGAAAGATAGAACCACACCATCCTTCAACCATCCTTTAGATACCCGCAGTTGATCTCGTCCAAATGAATATGAAATAACTGATGAGCCATAACATCGTTTTACCACCTTCCAGTTAGCCAACAGCAAAGAACCTCCTTTATATCAATGACAATCTTAGTAACATTGTTGTCAGCATATCGCTAGAGTTCATTCTAAGCCAGGATCCAACTCTGTTTTTTTATTATGGCTTAATTTCTGGAATGTAGGATTTGAACCTACAACAATGAGTTTAACAGTTCCGGAAAAGGTGCAAGATGAGCTAAATACATGATACCTCCCATAGACAACATAGTCCCAGCAAAACCACTCAAAATTTTCACTAAACTACTACTTTGTTTGATCTTAATTGACGTTTCTTTCGTATTTGTTTCTTCATCCAGCCTAACTTATCCGAAAAAATTGTCAGCTTACGAATGTGGTTTTGAGGGCGGTCGTAAGGTGCGATAGTGATTAAGAATCCAAAGCAAACTTGAAGACACAATTCCATTTGACGTGCGAAATGTGAGCAGAGACTGTTCCGTAACTAACGTCAAGCATCCGGCTACTTGACCACTCTCCTTGCGAATCAAACGTGATCGCTCTCTCCTACCCAGTCGTCGTTTTTGAGCCCTTGAAGTTCTCAGTTAATATCCCTTGAAATTATTAGCTCGATTGCACAATCGAATCGATTACGTAATGGCGGAGCGCGACGGGCGATGTCGGAGGGCAGAGGGGGCGAATCAGCGGAGAGCGCGAAGTGGCGGAGAGCGGGAAACGGAGGAAAATAGTTCTTCTTGTACGCAGCAACCCAAAGCCTCGGTGTAATGTGAGTAATATGTTTCTCATTTTCTTGTGCTGCATTTGTATCGTTGCTTGACGGGGAAAACATACTTTTTGTTGAAATTTTTGTGTGTTGACCATTGCATGTGACAGTCTTGTGTGAGAGCCTTAAGAACTAATTAAAAAAAAAAGAAGCAAACTAGGGCGCTGTCAGGTTAGAGTTTGAAAATACGTTTCAAACTGCCCTTTTGAGTCCAGTCCCCTCTGAAGTTTACACTGCAGGCCAAACTCCTCCGTCGCGTGGCTGTCGCAGGGCAGAGTTTGTAACTGCAGTCTAGTCATCCATGTCGGAGGGCCAGGCCGGGCCGTTTAAAAAACAAAAAAAAACAACAACAAGAAAAAAAGAAAAGATCGTGGCGCTGTATCTTTCGATGTTCTAGCGGAAGATTCACTCTCTGTTTCCACGATTGATCTCGAAATGTGCAAATAGAGAGTGAATCTTCGCTAGAACATGGAAATACATTCAATGTCGTTGTTATTCCCACAGAACAAAAAAAAACGGAAGGAATGCATCTTTCCACAGAAAATGAACAGGTTCATTGGCTTTCTATAAATAGTAAAGAATGTATTTTGTCATCCTTCCGTGGCCAGATGCACTCATTTCGTGTTCATTTCGTGTGCCATATGGTGACTCAGGGCATACTCACAGGACGACTTTTCTAAATGTATCTGACTGCATTCACTGTCGGACCAGATGAATCTGACCGCAATTGCGTCCACAGCTTAGAGCAAAAGGTCCTAGTGTAAGTATGCCCTCAGAGGCCCTTTCTTAGGGCGTACCCACACAGAGGTGGCATAGCAGCAAAATCTGCGAGTTTTTTTTTTTTTTTTTTAATTGTAAAATGACTCTTATATTGCAAAAAACATGGTTGAGGCCGGGGACCCCACAATTCAACCCGGAGTGACATATGTTGGAAACCAGGTCCAGCGTCCCTCATCGCCATCTTCAAAAGAAAAGAGAAGGAAATTGAACTAGTAAAATGAAATGAAATCCGAGACAGAATGCACTGCCCGCGACCGACCAGATCTATTACTGAATCCCAAGGAGCAGAGTAATCCCCTCATCTCATCGCGTCCAAAGCACTGTGAAGAGCCTGAGCTGCCAAGGCGGGTTTCCCACCATGCACCCAATGGGCACACCTCAAGTTTGCTCTTTGCCGGTTCTCTCTTTCCACCCCACCAGTACCGTTCCCACTGCCCCTTGGGCCCTTGTCACCCTCCCACTATTCAAGGTGGCACCGCTACTAGTAGTTCCGTGAATCTCGCCCTGAACCACTCTAAGTTAGTTCCCTCATCTAATCATTAACTACTGCAGCAACTTTCTCAGAACAATTGCAAACATATTAACTAAATTCTTCACCCGCATGATCCTCAATTCTATCAGTGCAATCGTCTCATCCTTACTGTCAAAACACTGTGAAGAGCTGAGCTGTCGAGACCGGTTTCCCACCACGCATCCAATGGATACACCTCAAGTTCGCTCTTCACCAGTTCTCTCTTTCCGCCCAACTCATAGCGTTCCCACTGCACCTCGTCACACTCTCACTCCTCAAGGTGGCACCGCTACAAGTAGTTTCATGAATTTTACCCTGACCCACTCTAAATTACTTCCCTCTTCTCAGTCGTAAAACTCCTGCAACGACCTTATAATTAAGCGCAAACCAACCAATACTACTATTTGCAGACCAAAACTGCAACAGTTAGTTTCAAAGTTTATCTACGTGCTTCAAACTTCCGAGGCACTAAAAACCATGAAACCGTCCTAGGGTATGACCAGGTGCAATAAAGCAAACTAAGCCACATGTTTCGTAAAAAAAAAAAAAAAAAGGGAGGGCAAACACATGCTACCTCTTACTTCATGCAAAGAGAGGGGATTCGAGATCCAACTATAGTCTTATCTGGAAAAGCAAGGGGGGGGAACTCTAACCTGTTTATGCGACTAGATGACGTAACCCATAACTGTACCAAGCTCAATACCACAAGTGACAACATGGGTAATATATGATTCTCCTGTCTCTACTAGCATGAACGTCCAGCGGCCTATAGACTAAGATATTAAAATGGAACTAACCTAGTACGAACCACTCTCTTCTACGAAAGAAACAGGAGGGGTAATTTTTGGGTGGTTGGTTGCCCATCATGAATATGGCTATTCTTTATTGGATTCCGGGCTCGATTTGGTTCAGTATAAAGGCCGAAGGCTTTCTGTTTTTATATATTTGGGTTCGTGCAGCATTTCCACGATATCGTTATAATGATCAATTAATGAGACTTGGCTGGAAAGTCTTCTTGTCTTTATCAAGCTCCGGCAGAATCTGAAGGCTTAACCTTCTATTACATCCTCGTTACGAAACTGTGAAACGTGAAACCCTCTTCCTGCTACTGCTGTTGGTCCGCTGCTGGTATAAGAGCCAAGCCACACCTTACTCGTCAAGAGTGGTTCGTGTTGGGAGGGGCACTGCCTTTCCATAATCTCCATAAAAGGTATTGCAAGGTGCGTTCAAAAATTCCAGCAAACATGTCCTTGGCATGGCCCAGCGGAGAAGTAATGCTGATCCGACCCCTCGCGCCGCCCCTCGCTACAAAATATAAACTAATCTACCCTGAAGCTAGGTCAGATGCATGACTTTTGTCTGGCCCACCTTCTTGTCTATCTTCCATTGGTTATGACACATGCCCAGATAATGCCG